CTCCCAATGGTGTAGAGACCAGCAACGGTTGCATCATTACTACCAAAGGCATGTTCAATCCCTTGGCAAACGCCTCGCTTACGAATGAACGTTGTGCCCCGGTATCGATGAGGATTCTCGCATCTCTATCGTTGATCTTTAGTGTTCCTACATATATAAGTCATGTGAGACACCCTATTCCACATCCCGACTGAAAAGGACCGAGCGAAAAAATTTTCAGCCGAGGGATACCCTATACCTGGTCGGGTACCTCCCTATACCCGGTCGGGTATCCAATCCAGAAGCAATAACCTTGCTCCACCCGGTCTGGTAAGGCTGTTGGGTACAGGAATTTGGCATACCCGGTCGGGTGACTCATTCTACCCGGTCGGGTCTCTGTCCCAGAAGTGATTCTTCTCCTTTACCCGACCTGGTAGTACCGGCGGGTAGGAAAGCTTAGCATACCCGGTCGGGTAAGCTACTAGACCCGGTCGGATGTCCAATCCAGTGAGTTTACCAGGCTAAAATCCTAGCATACCCGGTCGGGTGGGCTACTATACCCGGTCGGGTATCTGTTCCAGTGAGTTTACCAGGCCAAAATCCCAGCATACCCGGTCGGGTATTAGCTTATTTGCGTTTAATTTTCCCGATTCGACTCTAAGTCCGCTCGCAACTGACCCCTAGGGATTATAACTTTAATACCAGCCTAGAAACATACAAGGTTTAGTGTATTACCTGCAACGGAGTCCGGGTTTGCTCGCGCATCCTCCTCGGTCATTGCATACACCCGTGCCTGGGTTCTGCCTTGGTTAACGGACGCGGCATTGCTAGCCGTGGGTCCGCCCCTTCCGGTGCCGGCCTGAGACGGTCCCGCACGTCCCCTAATAGCCGTAGGTCCTTCAATGGCCCTTGATGGACCGCCTCCATTCAGCATTGGGCAAGAGGATTTCAGGTGACTCGTGCTACCACATCTGTAACACCGGGGTGGTTCATTGCACTTCCCCGCATGGTTCTTGCCGCAATTCGGGCACCTCGGTGACCACGTACTCCCTGGTTTGGCCCCTTGCCCACCTGAGCCTTTATTCCTCTTCGCCGGTGGTGCCGGCGCCCTGAATGAATTGCCACTCCCAGCGTGATGCTTCCGGGAGTGGTCTTGGGGTCCAGAGTTTCCCCATCTTCTCTTCTTCGCCTCATCGGCGTCCCTCAACTTCCTCTCATTCCATTGGGCTTCCCCAAGGAGCCCCTGATCAACGATTTGGCTAAAAGTCATGCTGTGATGGTAAGTAGCCCGGTCACGGATGTCCAACTGTAGAGCATCCCAAAAGTGATTGGCCATACGATTTTCATCCAAAGAGTATTCTGGGATGAATCGTGCCAAGTCACGGAACCTTTGTTCCAATTGCCTCACCGAGCAACCATCCTCCTGTTTCAGGTTCGTGTACTCTCTCCTTTTGAGATTGACTTCAAAAGTTGAGTAGTACTGATTATAGAACTCCACTTCGAATTTCTCCCAAGTGGCCTCACCGTGGAACTTTCCCTCCACGCCTTCCCACCATACAGCAGCTACCCCCATTAGTAGCCTGGTGGCAACCCTCAACTTCACGTCGAGTGCAATTTGCATGTCCCTAGAAGCATCATTCAGCTTCTTAATCCAGTCGGCGGCCTCAGATATGTCGCCCTTGCCATCAAATGATTTGCACCCCAAGGCCCTGACCTCCTTGAGGTACTTGGAGATACGCACCATCGTGTCTCCCCCAAATGCCCCCGATGGAGCACTAGAAGCACCTCGGCTTCCCTGCCCCATGGTTTGCCTAGCCTGTCTAGCTTGGCGCTGCTGCTCTCTCTTTGCTTTATTCTCGAGGTACCACTCTAGTACCTCACTCATACGGTCATAATGAGGATCATCATCCTCATCTTCTTCCTCAAAGTCCTCCCCGTTGTACGGGGTCTCCTCTTGCTCCGTGCTTGGAGCATAGGTGAAGTCGTCCGGTTCGGTGGCCCATGACGGGTGCACGGAACCGACGCGTGTGCTACTTGTCGTCGGCGTGGTAGAACGCCCACGACCCCTGCCTCGGCTTTGGCCCCGGCCTCTACCCCTAGAGGTCCGTGATTCCGCCCGAGTGGCATGCCCGGTGGCCCCCAGCACATGCCCTGTCGGGTTCCTCCTAGTTATCCTGCGTCCACCCTCCATTTCTGAAAGAAATAAGGAATCAGTCATTAGACTCGTTTCAATGTCAATTGACGGATTAGTACAAAAGACACCACTTGGTCCAACATTATGGCCAACAAACTGTTAAGGGTACCGTCTTAACAATAAGGGGTCAATAACTTGGTTTCCAACGGTTCCTTAAGTACAAAAACTTTTGCTCATGGTTTTATTCAAAACTTTTTGAGGATAACCATATTGAGAGGTTAATTATATAGTTTAGAAATCGATGGCTCTGATACCACTTAATTGTCACGCCCCAGACCGCGTCCGAGCCACGTAGACAACCGCCGTACAACCCGATAAGAACAACAACAGTTCATCCCTATTGAGTTGTACAAGGCGTCCGATTGATTCTATTGCCAAACCGATTAGTAAACACATACAATCAACATCAATATCATAATCAAACAAATGCGGAAATAATAAAATGTTTGATACTTAGCCACACGTGGCAAACACGGGCACGCAGGCCCCCAACTGTTTTAATGAAAACATTGTTCAAAAATCCATGAGCAGTTTATAAATGTCGAAAATACGAATGGAAGCACGAACCACGTCTTCCTCCTCGAATGATCACCCTAGGCAAAGGTGCAGGTAGTAGGACTCTAGCCTCAACCTGAAAAATATGAGACCCCCGGAGGGGTCAGTACTCCATAGAAGTACTAGTGACAAGCAGGTTATATGAAGAATAACTAATGTTTCAGACACGAGACCCAAAAATAGGGTGATATATACATATAGATGTCCCTCATCCACCCGATGATACATATTGTATATATACTCGTAAAATACTCAACCCGTAGGTCATTTACCTTAAAGAGTCTTTTAGAGATAAAGTTCTTACCTGACTTTTCTCACTCCTTTCCCGGTTACCTAGCTCACAAGCTATAGTCTACCTTCGATTCATACTACCGAGTGTTTTAGGATCATTTACCGTCCAAGGCACTCAACCCATCCTGGAGTATTTAAGATCATTTACCGTCCAAGGGTACTCGGCCCCACCTGGAGTATTCTGGATCATTTACCGTCCAAGGGTACTCGACCCCACCTGGAGTATTCTGGATCATTTACCGTCCAAGGGTACTCGACCCCACCTGGAGTATTCTGGATCATTTACCGTCCAAGGGCACTCAATCCCCAGTCTATTCTCTACCAAATCCTAACCTAGATATGGCTAACCTTTCATTCCTTTAACTATGGACAATGCCTAGCCCTATAGTCATATAACAATACTTAGGATCCAACGTGGGCGGGTCCCACCCGAACGGCCCACGTTAACCTGCTCAAAACTGCCCATTCTGAGCTTAACCCAATACCTGGTCGGGTATCCAACCTTACCCGGTCGGGTGGGGTGAGGCAGTAGCCCCTGGAGCCAACTTTACTTGAGACCCGATCGGGTCTACACCCATACCCGGTCGGGTCTAGTGTGGCAGTGGCTTCTGGAGCCATTTTTAATCAAAACCCGGTCGGGTATTCACCCATACCCGGTCGGGTATCACTTTTGTCTTGGCGGTCAACGCTCGTTTGACCGCCCAAACGAAGTCCGATTAACGTGAAATTTTATACACTTATACTTCTTGACGTCCTTGATCCAAAAATACCATTTTGGATCCCTGGAAAATCACACATAAGAAGTTATCACATTTTTGATCACCAAACCTACATAACATGCTTTTCAATTATGTTTTATGTATAATCATGGCATAAGCACACACTTGGTTATCTTTAATCATTCCACAAAACATATTCCTGATTACTTTAGGTAATATCATGCCTCACGCAAAAGTTATAAAGCATAAAGCCGTCTTCTCACCTTAATGAAGCTTATGAAGTTCTAGCCTTCCCGATTTAGCTCCGACGAAACTCCGGCGAACTTCAATGAACTCCGGCGACAACTCCGGCGACCTTTTCAACTCCGTGAAAGTTCCTTGAATACCTTAGACAAGTTACTAACAAGGTTTTATCATCATAAAACCCATAGTAATACAAATAACCTCAAAAAGGTTATTTTCCGGCGAACCGGTCACTTTGGCTTCTAAGTCCGTTCTTGGACTTAGAACCACCTTCCAACCCCTCTTTCTACACATCCAAAAGTGTAGAACAATACTAGGGGTCCTTCATGTGATATATTTGGTCATATGGTATATAAGAAGTTAAGGAAAAGTTGTTACAAGGTTATTACCTTGATTCTTCACACTTTCCCTAGCTTTTCCTTTCTTTAATCCTCCTTAGACTTCCTTTTCTTCCTTCTTGAGCTTGGTTCGAATGGCAATGGGGGAAATGAAGATTTGCAGAGCTTCTCTCTCAATATTGATTAGGTTGGTCGGACATATGGGCTAATGTGACACTCCAAACTTAGAGTAAAAATAAAATAAAATAAGATTTAAAATTTTAAGAGGCCATGTGACAAAATAGATGTTCTACATTAGTGAGATAAATTTTATGACTTAATAGAAGTGGCATCTTGGTTGTTGGCTAAATTCATAAAATATAAATATATACGTATAATAGTTGTAACACTAAATATCAAATACGAAATGGGGATGTTGAGTTTTCAAATATGTGCTGGTATAACACCTCATATGAGTAATATACTACACACATGCAAATAAAGTATACTACATACGCGGTATACATAATAAATAAATATAGTAAACGTTTACTAAATTAACAAAGAGTACGACCTACCATATGCATCATCCGTTATTACGCACAAATAAGGAAGGAAGATCCACCGTCCACGTACGTAGCAGCAACCCTAGAACCTGGAACCTTCGGCATATACGTATAAAAAGTGGCATCGGTAAACGACCCTGCACGGAGGAAAGGAAACATGCGCTACTATACTATATATGAAGCACATCGCCGGACTCCGTCGCTAGTAGAACTGAGAGATCATTGTCACCGGAGGAGTGATATGAAACTTGCCGGAGGTGCTGATACGAGACCAAACTGCTGCCGAACAGTACCATCTCCTAACATCGACCGATGCTGGGGAGTTTGCCACTTCTTTCCGTCGGAGGAGAAGATTGCCTAGAGGGGGGTTAGCAGCGCCGAAGAAGAAGGAGAAGGCAGAGCACCACCTGTGAAGACGGGAGGTCAATCGTTATGACATACCATTCGGAGAAGAGAGTACCGCCGAAGTGAAGAGCCACCGGTGCTGGATTGCTTCACCGCCGCAGGTCAATTGTTGTGTAGCCGGACCATTTTTACCATCTACAGGAATTGCCGGAGGGCAACGCCGTACTGCTTCGCTGCCAGACTGCCCATTTGTGAAGACGAGTGAAGAGAGCTGTAACTCATCATTCCGTCCCTGCGTCGCCTGCTGAAGCGCCGGTGAAGAAGGCCATCTGGTACGAACGCAGAGTATGTATACTCTGTTTCTATTGACCGTACGTAATGTTTTGGAGTGTAACGTAGTTGTACTGGTATTCAATTGTTTATTTCTGGACAGCCAATTTAAAAATAATAATAATAATAACAACACTCAATAATACTTCTACTTCGTAATAGCAGAAGGATGATTTAACGTAACTAGTTTATAATAAAAGGGATAATGTAAATAATGGAATTTTATAGAGATTAATTATTATCAAATCATTGGAGGGAGTAATTGTTAATTGGACTGATCAAGTGAATTGGAATAATAACAATGATAATACAATAATAATGATACAATGATAAAATAGATTGGACTAATTAATCTATTAAGAAGTAAATTTTTGAGATAAAAAATTTTAATATTCTTAGAAGGTGATTTTTGGAGAAGATCGAGATACAAGCTTTGGTTAGGAATTATCGCGATTTGAGGTAAGTTTCATTGCAACCAAAATTATACCTTTTACCTCGTAATTATTTTGAATGTTTTAATGTACAATTCGAGTAATGTGTGTGTGTATTAAAATTGAGTAAATGTTATTCTATATGAAATTGTTTGTACTTGATATATCGATTTGTTATTATTGGATTTTGATACAAGTTATTGTATATGATTTTTGGGAGATTTTCTAATGGTGAATATTTTAGTGGTGGTGTGAGTAAATTGGATTTTGAGAAAATGTATGGGAATTTTAGCGTATTTTGAAAGATATGAACTTTTGATTGGAATTTGAGGAAACAAAGGAAAGTTAATATTTTTAATGGTGACACTAAGACATAAATATTGAGTTTTGAAAAGAGAAGATAAAAGACTGTTTTCATAATTGGGGCACCGCGGGAGAAATCCGCAGGTGTCGGGCCACCTTCACGTCCGTTAATGGTGAGGGAGGGTTAGGACTACTACTACATGAATTGAGAGATGTGAAACAAACTAAACGAATTTTGGAGGGTTCGGTAATCACCCCGAACAACTGGGCATCAGATCCCTTTTTATTAGAGCAGTAGTAGTAGTACCTATTCTCTTAAGGGTCTTTGAACCTAGAACTTAGGGAGTATATCCCATTTGGAGTAGGGAGACGTTGACGTCAGAACTACTTAGACTTCATACTACTCGGAGGGCTTGGAATCCCTTTAGGGGGTGTGCACACTTAAGGTAGAAGTCTAGATTCTAATAGAGGAGATGTGGTACCGAGAGCAGATCGGAGTGACCGTACAAAACAACGGATCACTGGGCTCAAGAATTGAGATAACGCTTGAGCACCGCCCTTCTAAATGAACTAGGAGAATTAGCTATAAAGCTATTTTGAGGTAAATCAAATGTTTTGGTATCTTACTCTTAAAGAGTTGAGTTAAAGAGTTGACTAAATATTTAATCATTTTATTAATTGTGAATTTCTAAAGTACAAATATTTGTGATATTGGTTTGGAAAACATATTTGTGGACATTGATTATGTATTTTTTTAAGGATTGTGATAAAGTGTTTAAGTGAGTTTTGAGATGGATATTTGGAGTTGTGTATATGATATATGCTTTGGAATAGTTATGATAATTTTTATTACATTTTCTAATGATTGGAATTATTATGATTTGGAATATTATTATTTTACATATGAATTAAGTTATGAGAATTTATTATAAATATTGTTTTATTTGTGATAAATATGAATGTTTTGAAAAGACTTTTCCTCCCAAATGGTTTTACAAAAACCTATATATGTACCAAACCTGATTATTTTACGGGGTTGGGTGGGACTTACTTAGCATTTCCGGCTAATTTTTGTCTCTTTGCTTTTCTTTTCTTTCTGTACTTTATTTGTGCAGGAGGTAAGACTTGAGTATCTATTTGATGACGATGTTGATTCAAGAGAGATTCCGCTAGAACGCCTAATTAGTAAATCATTGTAACTTATAATTTCAAGATCTTTGGTGAATAATTATTTTGGAGCTTAAATTGTTTTGGAGGTGATTAGTCTGTGCACTCGGTTAGGTTAGAACCGAGTGTGGCGGTAACGCCCCTATTTTCCTTTGAATTTTCCGCTGCACAACTATGATGTTTTCAAATAAAATTAATAATAAAGTATTATTTCAAAGCGCTTTTGGGTGGGAAATTTGGGGGTGTTACAGCTAAGGGGGGAGGGATATGGCTCTATTTTGGCTTATACCTCAATGATAGCAAAAATATGGCCCTACCTTGTCCTTTTGATGTCAAAACCCTCAAGTCAGCTCTTCCCTTCAACAACCCTGCCCTCTGGACGCCCAAGCCCATGCCTTGTCTCAAATAATTTCGTGGGGTGGCCCCCACTCATGTGGGAGGTCATCCCTTTAAATCCCGACGTGTACAATCAGTCCCGAAAGTTGTATTTTCCGGACTGTTTTAAGTATATTTTATTTTATCGGGTCAAATAAAATATAACACTTGTTCCAAATCCTCATTGGACCTTAGAATCAATATGCATTCTCCAACTTTAATTTAGAAGTCTCCGGAATCCCTTTTTGGGCTGTTATCTGATAATTTGCTGATACCGATGATCTGGCCCCATTTGACCAACCGGTCATCTCTATGCCATCACCATGGCCCAATTAGGATATCCATCACCATATACATATTATCTAGTCCAAGATTAATATAATATGTGGTCCCGATAATATCGGGCGGCCCCACATCCGGTGTGGGCCCCACGTGAATTTTACTATTCACGTAATAGAAATGATAAAAATTTACAATCACGTAAAAATGCTTTTATACATTTCTCAAGGTTCAATACATAATTTGGTACAGTACAAATACTCGGGGGGCGGTGTTACAATACTGGCCTGGAACATCAAGGCCCGAGCCACTTTCAAAATGTGATGATGTTTTCGCTCAACACGACCATTCTGTTGAGGTGTCTCGACACATGACGTCGGAAAAATAATGCCACGAGTTTCAAAGTAAGGTTGCATAAATTTAAACTCGGTTCCATTAGCACTACGAACAGTTTTCACAGTCACTTCAAATTGTTTTTCCACCATAGTTATGAAGGAAGGACTAAATTACCTTTAATGAATAATTGATTTCTTTATTAATATTTAAAATAATTATACGGACTACAATTGTACAAGTTTTACAGGGATGTCACGCATGCTACACCAAAGCTGACATGATGCCGCCTGCCCCCAGCCGCTACCACAATCAAAATCATCGCCGCCGCCGGCCGCCACCATAATCGAAATCGTTGTCGCCGGCCGCAATAACTGAAATTTTTAATGAGTTTTACGGATGATGAGTATCCCCTTACCTCATTGATATTTTTTTTAATGAGTATGTATTTATCATGAAAGAAACCATGATAATATGTATAAAATACCTTGATAAAAGTATATATCAAGATTCTTATTGATGCGTTTCACTCAGGGGGAGTCCTTACATACTTATTTATTGTTGGGAATATTTTTATGGTGTATTGTTAGTCCCAGAATTCTAACAATCATGCAACCTAGCAGTGATAAAGAAGCAGATAGAAAGAAATCGACAAGATTAATACCCAAATCTGGTATACTGTATGAAAACTGTCCGCTGCTCTCCCTGGAGAAGGAGAGCAGCGGCAACCCTAATCTCTCTATCTTTACGCCTCTGCGTCTCTGAGCCTCTAAGAATCCGTTTGGGTTCCCGTAAGTTAGCCTCCTTTTATAGGAGAAGTTGGCTAACTTACGGGTTACAAGGAAGCCCACGGGCTGATACACATTTGTGGTCCGTATTACACGTTTAATTAATAACTACACAAATACAAAGATAACTAACTAGATTGAACACCATAAAAATATTCCCAACAATCTCCCCCTTGGTGATCAATCGTGTTGAATCAGCATTGCAGCTCAGATATCTTTGTCTTTGTTGTTGTTGAGCTTCCTTTGTCTTTGAACTTGACTTCTGAGGAAGGCTATCTGAAGAAATCCTTGCAATCTCCCCTTTGATGTCTTCTTGACAATTTGATCTTTGATATCGGGGGTTGAGGGAGCTTCTGTATCTTGCATGTAGTCCTTGCCTTCCAGAAGTTGCTCTTGATGAGCTTGGATGAAGTCCGGTGACGCCTCTAGAATGAATGTTATTTGGAGAATAGGAGATGCCCATGGAATTCATCTTCAGGACACGAGTATTTGACCTCTGTCTCCTCCACAATGTAGTCTTTTTGACTATTCGGAATGAATGCATTTGAGGAGAACTTGTCGGTGGCACAGCGGAACATAATGATGGTTGATTTGTGAGTGTAGCTGACCATTTGATTTGAGTTGCGGAGATAGTAGAGAGGGTGTTGAATTTTTTGATGGAGGAGTGAAGTGTCCCAGAATGATTTGTTCAGTGTTAACAGCATGTGGACCACTCTCCCCCTCATGACGATCCGATGAATCGGGACGTCATGCTTTTATTCTTTTATTCTGCGGAAATAAAAACATGAAAAACAAGCAGAATCTAAAAAAGATAACGTAGCCCCCCGGGGTCGTGAAGACGCCCGTTATCATCACTATAGAGATAAACTCTAAAGCAATGGCCTGAAAATGTTGGTGATTCTTATGTTGCAACAGCAGGACTTCCTTCCAATCATTAGTCTACATCTGCAATAGATGAGACCTATGGAAGTTCTCGCGGGTCATGTAGACCTGCAACTGACTCAAAAAGTGCGTCTGTGTCCTAGAAAATTTCAAAACATTTGGGAGTGAGTAACTAGACACAACGTGATCAATGAAAGTTCAGTGGCATGGGGCTGAGGCCACTGTAGTCAGTATTACTTGCCTCGGAAGGAGACAGTAATGAGAGATGCGGTTCCCCGTGAACTATGATTAAACACCTGTCTGTTGGGAGACAAGTGAGTGGTCTAGGGTAGGGTTGTGCATGCGCCGTTTGGACAAAATGCAGCGACTTCTACCCGGGATCTGAATAAATTCAGTCCTGAACCTATGGGGATAGTCCAGAGTATTTTAGTGGCTAGGAGCAAACGTTCAATTCATAGCAGGCAATTGAGGTAGCAGACTCATCATTGATAATTGTTTTTCTTCTCACTTGAGCCTTCTGCTTCCTAATGCTCATAATGTTCACTCA